GAACCAATAAATGCTATATTGATGGTGAAAGAGCGGCTTCTCCTGATAATCAGCTGCAGTCATAAATCTTTTAACTGTATCTTTAATGATTTTCCATATCTTTTTAAAAGTGATGTAAGCTATAAAACCTCTTTTTTTTATCAGTAGACTAGTTTGTCAAAAGAACTTAATTTTTTATTAATAAACACTTTCTTTCCTTTGAAATCTTGTCAACCTTTAGAAGGATAAATCACAGCCAGTTTATTTTCTCTGGCGAATACTTTATGAAAATACTGAGATTTGAGTCTGTATCTAGGATAAATGTTCTTATTTTTATGTAGAGATGATAAACTTAGATTTAATATAGCATGATAGTTTCTGGGCAACTGAGAAAAATCATAACGATTTTAAATCAGCATTGTGAGTTATCTGAAGCAACTGTATTTACTTTACTCATTGGCACAAGATGTATTATTTTCTTCTTTGGCCATTCTATTCGACTTGTCAAAACCAGATATATCTATTTTCTTTATGACCACCCTACATTGTAACCTCTCACTGGACACAGTAAATGAAATTAATTTCCCACAGTGGCCAGGTTATTTATCTTATTTATCATTTGTTGAAGTGAAGCTGTACTCCTGGATTAGGCAATTTAGGATCTCCATGTGAGACAACGGAGTGGCTCACAACATGTGTCATATAAGCATTGACCTAGAAAAGTATTTGTGCTGTGATAAACTCCAACCATGTTAGTAATTTTAAGAATTCCACTGAGAAAATCTGTGTATTTGAATACAAGGGCCACCTGGACCATGGCCATAAATTTAACTGGCTTCATAAACTAGTAAAATATTGTGCTGTTGTACATGCAGTTACATCTTTTCATAATAAATAGGATAAAGAAATTCAAATTTTATTTCTTGTCACTTCCACGCATACTCTATAACTGAAGGTAAGTGATTCATACAATCATAGAATCATTAAGGTTGGAAAAGACCTTTAAGATCATCGAGTGCAACCATCGACCCAACACCACCATGCCTACTAAACCATGTCCCTAAGCACCGCATCTACACGTCTTTTAAATACCTCCAGGGATGGGGACTCCACCACTTCCCTGGGCAGCCTGGTCCAATGTTTAAGCACTCTTTCAGTAAAGAAACTTTTCCTCACGTCCAATCTAAACCTCCCCTGGCGCAACTTGAGGCCATTTCCTCTCGTCC